ACATGTTCAGGACTCATACAACAAAATTCTTTAGCTGCCTACAAAAGATTTTCTCAATGGAGACACCTGAAAATTTTGTATTTTATCCAGATGATTCATAGCAAATGAAATTCCTTTCCTATGTTTTGCTAACCAGAATAAGAGCCATCCTTCATGGGTGGAATTTTTTGCAGTTTTTCCTTAAGTGATTCTACTTTCAGGCGGCTAGCTGATATAGGGCTTGGATGTTATGTTTCTTGTTTCCTAAGGGTTTTACTGGTGCTTAATAAGTAAACTAGGGGAGAACTGATTCTGATATACTCTGTCTTAGATATTCATCTCTTTGTGAACATTTGCAAAATAATCTATGAGTAAATTGATTTTTGCTTTATATTATATTAGATATCTTTCCTAGAAAGTTCACAAAATCTTTTTTTTTCTTTTTCATAACTAAAGGCTTATAGTCTATTTCTTTTTTTGTAATAAGCAGAAATTTAGGTCTTGTAGTTCAGCACACAGTGTAGGTCAAGAAATAGGTACTATATTGTATCAAGAACTCACAACATGTCTAATTTCAATCTTTGGTTACCTCAAATTTCACAAAGAATTGGAATTCTTTCAGAATGAGTCACTACATGTATTTGTACAGTAAAAAGAAACAGCCTGATGATGGATTGCCTTATCTGAGTCAACATGCATTATTAAAGGAACTACCAAGAAGGGAGTTTCTGGGGGTGGCCATGATACCCCACAACTTTCTTAGTGAAATACCCCTGGCAATTAGGTAAAAATAAAAACTCAAGCCTGTAACCTTAAAATCCCACCTATCAAGACTGACCCCTACTGCGCTGGGTGTTCACTTGAGCTCTAAATGTCGCTGGACTGTTCTCATTCTGGATCAAGGTTCATAAGAGACTGCACCAACTAGTTGACTTATGCAGGTAATGTGACTGTGGTTGCTTTACTGAGTTGGTTGGGTCATGGAGAGCACTGGGCTACGGCTTGCCAGTGATCCCCGAGCAGCGCTCACCATGGGCAGCCTATGTAAGCTGTAGTCTCCTAGCCTGATTGTAAAAGGCACATAATTTTGAATGGACATGTTATTGTGTTAGTGATGCGTAATTATTCTCATCCCTATTGAATTTGTAATTACTTATCAGGGCACTTGATGTTTACACAACATTTTACTAAGTGCTATGGAAGGGGATTGGTGTAGGTCAGTGCCTCCTACTCTATTGGAACCTGAGGACTCTACTTTTGAGGTTGTATTTTCTCAGTCCAGTAGCTAATTTGTGAAGATGGTAAAAACTTCTATGTATTTATTAAGATTTTAAAAATATTTGTACACTTAAAACAGTGTTCTATGTATATGGATATAGTGCATAATATTATTAATCTCCAGAAAATGACATATATGGAGATTGGTTTCTTGCAACCATTTCAGAAAATTCATGATCAAGATTCAAACAAATGGTCCCAGTGTAGTCAAAGATGGTAAATACTGTTGTAACTTTATAGATGGGACACAGTCATAGTAATATGTGATACTTGAATTTTTAACTTTTTGAATAAAAATTTGGTACTATGTAATTCTTACTTATTTTAGAGGCAAGTGGTACACCAGTACAATGTCAAAACTTGGGGCTTATCTAAAGGAAAATATTATTAAAATTGTCAATTTTTCTTAGATTCCTTTGAATAAATGTTATTTTATACTTTAGTTTGCTTTATCCCATGATCATGCTTTGGAATAGTTGCATGTTTCGCTTAGAACTTTCAATAACTATCTTTTATTTTTGGGGATTGACAAGAAAACCATGTCTTCTTTGAATATTTCTAATATTTTCTTATTTATGGGATGGTTTGTCTATTTCTTAGGCTCTACCCTATGATATCTTTTATAAAATAATCTGACTTCTTTAAAAATATAATGCATATCTCTCACTTGGAGTTTTTTGATGATTACACCATCTTTCATTGTGTGTCTTTGCTTGATTTTAATCCTCATTGAGCTGGAGGACAATCAAGAAACTTTTGAAGAAGTTTTGGTGGCCAAAACATTATACTGAAGAAAAGATAACTTCTTTAGCAAAGGATGCCAGGAAAACACTACTCAAACACAGAAGTTTGAAACTCCATACTTATTTTCTGATTAAATCAAAATAGATTGAAAACCTGTATATAAAGACATAAACACTGAATGTGCCAGAAGATAAATTAGATAAAACTCTTTAAGACGTAGGTGTAGACAAGGATTTTCTGAACAGAACTCCAACTGTTGAAGAAATAACAACAAGAATAAAAAAGGGCTATCAACTTAAAAAGCTTCTGAACAGAAGAACAAACAAAAACAGTGCAATGAAGACACAACGTATAGAGAGGGAAAAATTTTTCTAGCATATTCTCAGGCAGAATACTAATATTTAGAATACATAAAGAATTAAAAATATTAGACCACCTAGAATAAAAACAATCCAATAGAATGTAGGCAGTTGAAATGAATAGACACTTTTCAGAAGTACAAGTGTCTAGTAAATACATGAAAAACATTCAATGTCATTGTCCATTCTGGAAATGCAAATAAAAACAACAGAGATTCTACTTACTCCAGAAGAATGGCTATCATCAAGAACTCAAAAAAGCAAATACTGGTGAAGCTGCAGGGGACAAGGCATCCTTCTACGTCAGTGATGGGAACGGAAACTCTTACAACCTCTACAGAAATATGTAGACAAATTCCTCAAAAAAATAAATATAGACATTCCACTTGACATGACTATATCTCTTTTGGATATCAACCCTATTTGAAGATAACTCCTTTTTCTTCTCAAAACAATTTAAGGACCATTTTATTACTCTTCCTGTTTGAAATTACTTAAGATTATACACAAATATGGCTTTTTCAGCATCTGTGACTTCTCTGCACTTGTGGAATCTTATAATCTCTTTGAGCTCCAGAAAACTTTCTTCTAGTATTATTTTCTTCCCTCCATTTTATTAGTTTTCCAGAATCCTAGTTAGCTTGATATTGGGTTTCCTGAATTAAGTCTTTGAACATGTCTTCTTTTTTACTTTTGTTTTCCATGTCTGTTTGTTGTTTTATGTCTCAGAAATTTATGTACTCTGTATTTTTTTAAATGCATTTGCTACAGGGTCTCACTATGCAGCTTGGACTCAGCGATCCTCCTGTTTCAGCCTCCTCAGTGCTGGGTTTACAGGCATGCACCACCATGCCCAGTTGCAGTGGCAGGCAAGGTGCACCTGGAGGCAGTGCCAGGACAGCATGTGGTCCTGGGGATTGAACCCCAGTCCTTGCGTTTGCCTAAGCAGGTGCTTAGTCAGCTGAGGTATCTTACCTTCCAATGCACTTGGTATTCTGTTCCAAAGTTTTTAGCAATTAAAATTTCTAAGATTTTTTTTTGAATTGTCATGTCTTAATATCTTACCTGTGATTTATGTGTCAATTCTTGTCTCTTCAAGAATATATGGATTTTAGATTTTGTTTTTATTTGAATTCTCAACCATTTCCTATGTTACATCTTTTCCTTTTAGGGTCATTTTTGATTATTCATATCAAGCTTTTCCTTTCACGACAATATTTTATTCTCATGAATCTGAAGATCATTGTTTAGCCACATTTAAGAACAAAGAACAAAGTAAATGACAGTAGGCAATGATCTGCAGGGTTCCTTTGTTACATAAGTGTACCCTAAGGAAAAATAATGACAATGGGCTTTATATGTGGATCTTAGAGACTCGAGAAGTGGGAGCATCTGAGGCATATGGAGCCTCCTAGTTGCTAAAGTGAGTAGAGTTCTAGGACCCCAATGCTCATGACTAATGCACCCTACAAAATTTATTCATTTATTTATTTTTAGAGGGACATGGTTTTCCTCCTTTGAGGTAAGATCCTTGGTTCCAGGAGGGCTTGTTTGTCCCCTCACCTGATTGAGTTTTGAATAACTTCTTTTTTTGGCTTTCTTTCTCATTCTTACACTTGCATCCTATTAAATCTGGAACATAATGCTCTTGTAATTGTTCTAGTTTGCAAATTATTTAACTTGTTCTATCTCCTTTTTGTCTTTCAGACATTTGTTGAAATCATGAATCAATCAGTGATCCCTTCTCATTTTCTTCATTATTATGGGGCTACTCTCCTACAGAAGTATACTCTCAGGGAACTCGAGGAATGAAAGACAGATGCATTTACTCTGCCTTGATCTTGAACAAGGAGTTCTTTCCTTTCATCTTCTTTTGACTGACTCTTTTTTTTTTTTTTTTTTTTGGCAGAACCAGGGATTGAACTCCGGTCCTTGCTTTTGCCAGGGAAGCGCTTACTCTACTGAGCCATCTCCCTGGCCCCCATTTTGACTGCCTCTTGAGTGTCCTCTAATGACATAAGGCACACTGAAATCCATACTCATGTACCACTCAAAAGTTGCCACTGATGTCTTTCTAAAAATAAGTGTCTTAAAATAGTGCATCACATATAATTTGAAAAATAAAATGAGAAACTGTGTGTGACTTTGCCTAGTACCTTATCTAGAATGGAACATCTGATCAAATATTATTTCTCTTTTCATTATTTTCTTTTAAGATGATAAAGTTTAAGTGCATTCCTAGGATAGAAATTGTTTTAAAATAATGAAAATAGCATCCTCTACTTAGTGATTAGAACCAAGAAATAATAAGAAAATTGTCATTAAACATTTGGAGTTCAGAAGAAGTCCTAATTTTCATTTTATTATAGCAAACATTTTTCATCTTTTAAAAACTGCAATGGTAAACTATAGATTCATTTAATTATAAAAATGCACTGTGATTTATAGATGAGGTCCATGGAGATCACCGGGCTTGCTAAATTGAGCCAGAACTGAAGCCCAAGTCTTTTGACCTCAAATAAGTCCCATTTCTTTTACAACACAAATTTAGGACTTTTGAGAGAAAATTGAATATATGATAAGATAGAGCTTATTGCATCATATGAACATTAATAACTATGACTAATATTTCATTTGCAGTAAAATTGTATGCTTTAACAAGTCAAGTTATCAATGGTGAGATGCAGTTCTATGCCAGAGCAAAGCTTTTCTACCAAGAAGTACCAGCCACAGAAGAAGGCATGATGGGCAATTTCATTGAGCTATCCAACCCAGATATCCAGGCTTCGCAGGAGTTTCTTAGAAAATTTGTTGGGGTGAGTTATCTAACTGCAACTTGAGAGGGCAAAGTGCTTGGGAATATTGTGCTCACATAACTTTGTGTTGTTACTCAAGTCACACTGAAGTCCTATGGCTCAGCTCCAGGGCCAACCTGAAACCCTGTTTTAAGGTGCTCATAAGAGCTGGACATTGTCAAGCCCTTGGTTTACCCCACTTGGCATTTCATATTCCTTGCATCAGATAATCTTGCACAGTGCAGGGAAAGGTGAATTAGCAGTGCTGATTTACTCTTTGAGGAGTAGAAAGACCTCTCTTTCAGAATCTCAGGGGTAAAAAGTTGACACCTAGATGACTGATGACTTTTTAGATTTGGAGTTGATTTACTTATTCCCGTAATAAAAATTAGATGTAGTGAGAAACTACATGTTTACATTCAGTTTGAAAATAAGGATAATAGAACCTTCTTATTTTCAGATTTTTTCTTGCAAGAATGTGATTCTTTTATAATTCTTGTTTGGTGTGAATCTCCAATTCCTTACTTCCAAACCACATGGAGATAATAACAGAGGGTAGAGGTCAAAATTTTGGGTTAAAGTTGTCATAGTTCTTTCACTTACTATATAAGAAACTCTGGACTTGTTACCTAAATGCATGGAGCCTCAGTTTTCTCACCTGTGACCAGGGAGCACCAATAGAATTTACTTTACAGAAGAATGTAAGAATAAAAGAGATAAAACATGGGTGCACAAAAGTAGCACCCAGGAGATCTAATTTATTGCTACTGCTACTAATAATGAGATATCATATGCTGTATTATTATTATTTTATACTAGAAATTGAACCCAGGACTTTTGCACTGAGCTATATCCCAGGAACTTTACACTGAGCTATATTCTCAATGAGTTGTATTGTTTTCTACTTTGAGACAGGCTCTTGCTAAGTTACTAAGGTTCCCAGGAGGGGCTGGAGCTTAGATTCTTCCTGCCTCAGTTTCCCAGAATACTGAGATTACAGGTTTGCGACACCACACCTAGCCTATTCATTGTATTTTAAGGAATTTCATTTGTTTATTAGAATAGACTTAACCCATCCATTAAAATTGCTATTGGTCTAAGTGAAGATAAAAAATCATTAATGAGTAATTAGTCATATATGTGAAACTTGGAGCCTATTTTATTCTGACAAGTGAAAAGTTTTGGAGTTAGGATGTGAGGAATAGTATGAAGAGTAGCTCTAGAGTTGAGATGAGGCTTACTGCATGCCCAGCCTCCATAGAGCAGTCAATGCCTGAGTCCCAGGTCTGGCAGTAGAGAAAACATGATCAGCATACAATATCTACTGAGGCAAAGTGTCTGCATGGATCTCAGCTGCAGCCATAAAGTACAGGGGAGTCTAGGGTGGGTGGCCATGGATGTTGACAGGTTAGGGTGACCTGGGGAGTTTCTAAACCCATCCTGCCAATTTTTTGGAATGTGCATCCCAACATGGCCTGTCATTCTACTAAGCAACTCAGAAGCCTTGTCTCATTTATTCTTCACAGCAATAATGAAAAGTAAGTACTATTATTAGCTCTGGTTTTATAGTCATGGAAACTGAGACTTAAAGAGGTTAAATAAGTTGTCAAGGTTATACACTGGTAAGAGGCAGAACTGAGGCTTAAGAACAGCCAGCTCTGCCTGACACCAAATTCCCTGCTATTAACCACGACATATTTTTTTCCACTTGTCTCATGAAGAAGAAAAATCTCCCCCACCCTCTTTTGACCATAGACCTCAACTCTCCTCCAGTCTTGCCCAAGAAAGGTCTTCTGCTTGTCTCATAGTGAGACTGACTTTGATCCCAAAACATTTCAGAAGCTTAGTTAGTAATCCAGCCGTCTTGTCACTCCATGTGGAATACCAAGCTGACCACAGGGAAGTTGGTCAGAGCCCAGGAGCGTGGCCACAGACCTGGGAAAGGAAGTCTGTGCTTGCATATTTATGTTGGAAAAGAGGCAGCTGCTCCTTTCAAACTAATATAAAAAGTCCTTCTTCGTAGACAAGGCTCATTGTACAGCTGTGACCTCTAACTAAATGCAAACACAGTCTCTTTTAAAGGAATGATATTTTAGTTCGTTGACCTTAATGATCTGCTAAATTTGTATCTGGGTCAAGAAACAAGGAGTTAGGGGATGTGAGCATCTGACATGATTTATTCTTAGGTCAACTGGGAAGAAGGTAATGGTTTAATTTAAAATTTTTCTTTTCTTTCAACACTTAGTGACGGGGACAGTATGAAAGGATGTTTATTCGACTTGTAAATGGATTTACTTTAGCAAACAAATAGCACCAACATGATATCAGTAACATAGCTGATAACTTTCTTCAACTTTCAAGTGGTGAAAAGAAGTAATTCATAAAATATAATCAGTGTCATTTGCATTTATATTTTGATATTTCTCAGGGATTGGATGACTAAAAAAATCTGTAACTTGTTATATTTGATGACTTCTATATAGTGCCATCAATTCTGTCATTTTAGTTTTCAACTCTATTGGATAAGCTTAAAGTATTATTCTTTAAAGCAAAATATAGAGGCAGAATCAAAACTAAACTGAAACTAAAACTAAAACAGTAGCACTTTATTATTTTATATGAATCCATGAATATGAAGATAATATAATACATGAAAATGAAAACAGAACATTTTGTTTTGAAATAACCACTAGTGTGTAGCTCTAGTCACATCAACACAAGAGCATCAAATGTCATACAATCACAGCCTCTGTAGCTGCCATATCCAAGAGGTGAACAATACAGTCCCTGATATCCATCTTCCAATGTCTCTCTTCAGAGGAGCTCTATGCGAAAAAGAACAGTAGTGCCAGGACATAGGAAGCAGTGCCAACCACATCGAAGGAAATGGAATGTAGAGAACTGAGCAGTAGTGGGGACAACCTGGAGGGCACAGCATTCAAATGAAGGGCATTTTAGTTTTGTAATTGAAAATAATAATAATCTTAAGAATAAATGTAGTTGAGGGCTGGGGAGATAGCTCAGTAGAATAAGCACTTGCCTGGCAAGCGCAGGGTCCTGAGTTCAATCTCCAGTACCGTATAAAGAAAAAGAATAAATGTAGTTGAGCATTATACATATAAATTGGTAAAATATACTATTTAGAATATAAGAATCTTAAGGATGGTCTACTTGAAATATTTGACTTTCCTAGGCCTCAAGTTTGTTTGGAAAAGCAGGAGAATGAAACACCTGCTTTTAATGATTTAAAAGCTGTATAATTTTTCTGAGAGTCTTTAAAGGCTTCTTTGGAGAATGATGGCAGGCTCAGTAGGCAAGGCCTGGCCTCACTTTAACCAGGGCAGCTTCATGTTTATATATTCTGTGAAGACAGAAGTTTGACCTTTAAAATTCTCTGGCCTACATCTCTTGGATCTCTTTGTTTTATTCCATGGTTCTACTTCTAAAACCACCTGCTATACTAATGAGAACAACAAAGTCAATACAGAATTTTGGAGCCAAACAATTATATGAAAAATTAATCATGAAAATCTTTTGTGAAGCATACAAATTTGTAGTAGTCACTTCTTGTGGCCTCAAGTAATTTCTCTATACTTTCTTCTATCTTATATTATGAATTCACTGAGAGTTACTACTTTTATGGTATGGTACTTACATAACATGACATGACAAAACAACATAATATAAACTTTGGCTGAAGTCCTTTTCTGAATTAGTTTAAATTGTGATATTTGAATAAAGATATTCCATTCAAATGTGATATTTGAATCAGTTTAAAATGTAATACTTGAATGAAGGGGGCAGTGTAGTATAAGTAGAAATCATCAAACATATCAAACATCCTACTGCTCTTCCTTCGTATATACTAGGTGTCACTGACAGTTAATCATACATCCATTTCCTGCTGAGTCTAAATAAGTCAGACACACAAGCACAATGTCATCTGGTATATGTCATCTTTAAGTAAGGTAAGGTACAAACAGGATACAATAAAGGGTGGACAGAACAAAACATTGGATAGATCTCTGGCAAATGAGAAGTGGTCTAGGAGACTGAGGGCTCTAGGAAGGGAAGAAGAAGTAAGAACTAAGATATATCATGTACAGGAACTTAATAACTTCAATGAATGCAAACATTATATGTCACAAAAGTGAGATAAGAGTAATAATAAGAAGAATGAAACTAGCAGAAGAGGATTTACAGGCAAAGAGAGAGAAGTAAGTAGGAAGGGGAAAGAGATTGAAAAAAGGAATAAACTATATTAGGCTCATATTCCTACTTCCCAAGATATAAGCAAATCTCATGTACTACAAATGTACTACTAATAAATAAGATGATAAAAATAAAATTTTAAAGAAGATTTCTTTTGAACATAACATTAGTCAGACAGTGCCAAGGAGATTACAGTTGTCACTTGGGGTGATATTCCTCCTGCCCAACTGGCTTTGAATGCTGACAATTTCTATCTAAATTCCAGTTCTGCCATTAACTGAGCAACATTAGCAGTTTAAGTTTGCTCATCTCCACAGTGGCAACGATGATCATCATCTTGTGGAGCTTTTTTTTTTATTATTTTAGCTGTAAAAAGATCTTGCTACATATAAACACTCACTTGTGGTTACTTTTCTATTTGAAAAGAAGCTGCAAACTTTTCTCTTCTTTCTTCATTGTCTCTTTCTAGCATAAGGAAAGCCTTCTGGATGGACCTAAAGGCAGATTTTTTGATGTTTCCTTCTGCTCGTACTTAACTTTGATCCTTAGCCAACTTTTTCAATCCTTAGTTCCTGAGAAATCAAGAGTAGGCTTTCTCATTAAGATCTTGACTTGTAACCTGAGGTATCGCATTACTGTAATTTCTAACACAAAACCTATTCAGTACTCACCCCAATTATGACCAAATAACTTCAAACAGTTGAATCTTCATAATTCAGAAAACTGTTTTAATTGTATGGAAGTGAGTCTGAGAGGGTGTGCATTGGCTAATTTCTCACTACCCCCACTTCCTCTCCAAAGCCTCACTCAGTTAATTTAATGCACAGAAACATTTTAAGGAAGTTTCCAATAAACATGTAGTTTCTGTTACAAAAGTAGAAAACGTTTAGCATTAGCAGAGACAAGGAGGTGGCTGGAATTAATCTTTATTCATGTGAGCATTCTGTGTACTGTAAGGGTAGATATGAAATTTATAAACCTGGCCAGAAAAGGGAATCATTAGAGTCCTCAGCTCAGATCCCTAAATTTACCATTCATATAAGAGGATGTAATTCAAAGTTCAAAAATT